CTTCAAAGCCCTGTTGGAAACGAAGAAAAACAAATTAAGAAGAAAGATTATAAATCAGAGCATACAACAGGAAGGCGAGAAAAGGAAAATTGATATACTTAAGTAGAGCTTGGAACCTTGGAAGAAGGTGGATGATGAGTTGTTTCTTTTCACTGTTGAGAGGGATCATTCCCACTTCCTTGTGAATAAGGAATGATGCATGAACCTTCACTAGAGACCTATAAATATCAAAGAAAGAAGGCTAATGTCAGTAATTAGCTTATGAAGAAAAGAAAATAGAAATAAGAGTACTTCTATACCTGAGTAGGATCTTGAGTGGAAATAGGGAACTCCTATGTGGTGGTTGCTGGTTGAAAAGAAGCCCGCAGCTAGTCACCTCTGAGACCACAGTGATCTTAGGGACTATGGGGTCCCCAAAGGCAGTAATTGATGGTTGTTGAGACTCCTATGTTGGGGAAGACTAGAAGAAAGTAAAAGATAAGTATAAAAGAGAGAGAATGCTTTAACCACATAATGTCAAGACAAAACACTCACCGAATTGTTGTTGTCTTCCACAAAATGCAGCATCTCCCTAGTTAACGGATCAAACAGGGAAGTAGAAGCCACTACCAAGGGAAGAGAGGTTGAAGGAATAAAAAGATGAAAAAGTAAAAGACAAGTAAAAGACAAGTGTTAAGGCTCTGAAATTGGTGAAGATACAAGTGTTAAGGCTAGAAAAAGTAAAAGACAAGTGTTAAGGCTCTGAAATTGGTGAAGATACAAGTTTAAAAAGATGAAAAAGGACATACTTTTGAAGGCTGAGCCCGAGATGGGGAAGCATGTGTTGGTCGGGCAGGAAGAGAATAAGCTTCAGGCTGAATGGACCTTCATCTCTAAGGTCCTATTTAAAAATACAAGTAAAAAGTCAGTGCAAATATTGAGAGAATGAAGAGGAATTGAGTACTTAAAATAAATCAAACATTTACCTCTAATTCTTTGAGAGTAGCATCAAGAACAGGCTTGTCTTTTTTATATACCTTCGCTCCCAACGGCTCCTCCCTTGAGACAATAGTGGGTTTCTTGGTCTCTTCATCTTGCCCGACGTCTATCTCTGCAGGGTTGCCTTGGGCTGCAAGTGTAAAGAAACCAAGGAAAGGATTAGAAGAGGGCAGATTCATGAAAATTTAATAAATTACAAGTTAAAGAAGTAAAAGGTACCTATCAGAAGGAGTTGGTTCTTCTGATGAATCATTTCCTTCCAATTCTCGAGCTCGCTCGATTTAGGATAGAATTTGATGGATAGTTGCTTGAAGAGACAGTCATGAGCTTCCCATATATCTCTGCCATACTTCTTAGTCCATTTTGATTCCCACTAAGTAGCAAAGCTTGAAGTACATTCAAAATTGAAAGCCATAGGCTTTTTGGCAATTTTGCTCATAACCTTAAGACTTCATTGGGCAGCTCGGAATGTAACCTCTTGTGGGGGGTGTAGGTGATATGAGGTGCTGCAGTGAATAAAATCGAAAAAGGGTACAGGGATGGTTTGCCTGAAGCCTAATTGCCTGCTGCAGAAGTTTGGATGATAAACTTCTAGCCCGTGCTCGTAACGATCACTTCTTACTCTCCATGCAAGGTCATTTGGTTGAATGTAGCTAATAAACTTATCTCTGCAGAAAGTACTACCGTCATCCCCAAAGGCATCTTGGAAAGCTTGGTTGAAGAACCAAAGATATCTCCATAGAACCGATGTTCCTCACTCTAAATCTGCCCGAGTCTTGCAGACACTAAAGAAGTACAGACAACAAAAGGTAGAATGGTTGGTAGGAGAAGCCTCCGCCAGGATTCGGGCAGAAGCAACACCCTTAGGGAATTCAAGATTGGGTGCCCGAAGCTCGGGGAAGTACTATTGTAGCCATAGCTGGATCATCCAGGTTGCCCCATTGAGGTTGGTCTAGAAGGGGATGCCTTGGGTCATCTCATACAAAAGATAGTAAAGATGAGCGAGGAGGAAGGGACTCGTAGCCACATCATCAAAATTGTGCAGAGCTTCCACTAAAGGGATTCGTTCGACTTTCACTGCCTTAGACTTGTTGAGGAAGACATGCTTATTAAGCCAGTATAGTAGAAAATACATGTGATCTTGGTCTCTGTTGGCGTTGGAAGATGAAGGGCCAAATTCCTTTTTCACAAATGGAATAAAACCCGTGAAAGATGTCTCATAACTCTTGAAAGTAGAAGAGTTATAGTCTAGTTGGGCTAGGGGACTAAAGCTGCCTGAGCTCTCAGCCCGAAGACCTGCGCCATATCAAGGATGGTTGAGGACATAGGACCTATCTTGAAATCAAAAGTATTTGTCCCCGAGTTCCAAAAGAGGAGATATGTGGTTAACAGCTCGGGCTTAGCAATTATCATGGTCTTGGAGAGCATTATCAGCTTATAGATGTCACTGTTCCTCCATTTTCTCTTGAAAGTAGGGTCGAGTTCATTTACCCACCGCACCCAAGCTTCATCATTCATCAAGGGGAAGCCACGATGGTGGTGTGACCATTTGGAGGAAGAAATGCCCGACTCGGCCAAGAATGGGTTAGGAGTGAACCAATTTGCCTTGGGCATGTTGTTTTCCACGACTACAGGGACTGGGGAGGTCCATGCATGCCCTAAGGAGTGTGCTCCTCCCTCCTCGAAGAAAAGTTCAGTATGCAGGCCTGCCTAAGGACAATGAAAGTCGTTAAGCAAGCGACGCATGGTGGAAATCCCCTCACCAGTCTCGTAGGAAGATTAAGTTCGAACAACTTTGGGTGCCATTGGTAATTTTGAGAAAAAGATAGGAAGAAAGTTGGAACTAGGAGCAAGAATCTAGAAAACAGGAAGTACGGGGGAATCTGGGAAGTGCTGGAAATTCGAAGGCTTGAGAATGCTAAGGTACTTAGCTGAAGGGTTTAAGTGAGCATTATATAGTAATCGATTAGTTAATGTTGGAAAACGTGGTTTAGTGCAAGGGTTTTGTTAAACAACGGCTGTCTTAAATGGTGCAAGTCTCAAGTGAAGGCATGCGGCGGTGGTTTAATCATTATTAACGCCTCGATTTGCAGACTCAACAACGATTAAAAGGGGCACTATTTGGGTTAGTATTTAAACATTAGGCTTAAGTGAAAGAAAGCCCAATGATGCCAATTGAAAGGGGGAATTGCCCAAAGCCCAGCATTAAACCCATAAGAAAATTGAGGTTTTCTCATCCATGAGTCATAAACCACGTGTCTATAAGTAAAGTGACAAGTGATGGAGATTAACCTACTATCAGCCCAAGAACACTTGCCAGTGGCATTACAAGTAAGAAAGCTGATGACTCACTACCCTCCAAATGTTTTTGGGCAAGAGCAAAAATTACAGCAGTGGGGCTAGTTTGGCCATAAAAGGAAGAAGAGACCCTAGAGACAAAGACACTCAACCAATCAAACAAACAAACATACCAACTCTGCTCTCAAGCCAGATTTGCGTCAAAAAGCTAAACTCAACCCAGATTCAGTCTTTTTAAGGATAGTTCCCTACAAAAGACATCTTTTGTATAGTCTAAAAGCTCTGCTACCTCCCTTAGTGGCGTAGTATCGATTCCCTTATATAAACTTGTTTACCATCCATCCTTTTTTAAGCATATAACTCTTGTAAACTCAAAGAAAAGTTACTGTAAGAAGTTCAACCTTGCCAGACAAGGTGAAATCTTGCCTGAAGCTCTTTGTTTATTTTCTAAATTAGTAGATCTATTGCTTAATGCATTTTCCATTATGTATTCAAGTTATTTCCACCTGTTTTTCTATTTTAAGAAGTTCATTTGCATCTGGATCTGGTTCGCTTAAATGAATATGCTTTCATTAGATATAATCTAGAACCAAACAAGTAACTTAAGGAGATCTGGACTCCCTTCATTTTGAACATACAAGACTATGAACTAAAAGTCCTTGTTTACAAGGTAAGAAAAAGAACTTAATGTGGACTTAACCCATCCACGACAATCCTTTGATAATAAGAAGTTTGAAGTAACTTGAGGCGCAAGTAATCTACTTAAAACACATGTGCTCTACATATGTTATACTGAGATAGCAGTGGCACGCCTAGCACTTAGTTTTGATTGCGAGCCTCAAGGCCTATACCTAAGGCCCCACAAAGGCACTTTTTAGAACTAACTTTGTTCTCTTCTTGTAGCACATCAACAAGCAAGAGCTCGACTACACATCCAAAGAATCAATCCCTTGGGGAGCTGTGCTAAGGTTTGAGGATCCTTCTCCAAAGAAATCTTTGCCCAAACAAATATTAGTTAACTTCAGGAAATGACAGTCTAATTTACGGAACTATCTTTTGCAGGCAAAACAAAAACGTTTGGGGCCACGTGAGTTACGTAGGATTGGTGTTTAGCTTGGTTTACTCCGGGATTATATTTCCTGAGTAGGTAGAAAGAACTCTTTCCTTGACTGGGATAAGTTGCAAGATATTGCTATTGGCATTACCAAAGGAAACAAGGATGTGATCAACGAATCCTTCATTTTGATATCAAACCATAATGTTTTGCTCGAATAAAACTTCACGCCAAAAATCTCTGATTTTGGTCTGGCCAAGTTATGTTGCAAGGATCAAATCAGTGTCAATAGCTACAGTGAGGGAGACCATAGGGTGCATTGCACCCAAAATGTTTTCCAGGAAACTGTGTTTTACAAGGCATATGTCTATAATTTTGGAATGCTGCTGCTTGAGATTATAGAAGGAAAGAAGAATAATGGTTCAACAATAAAGGACACGACAAATGAAATTTACTATCCAAAATGGATTCATAATCTTCTAGAAGAAGGAGATGACCAACAAATCGATATTCAGGAAGAAGGGAGTGTTAAGATTCCAAAGCAACTTCCAATTTTAGGGCTCTAGTGCATCTAGTGACATTCGGTGAGTTGTCCTTTCATGAAAACGATGGTCCAGATGTTAGGAGGAGAAAACTTGACGATGCAAGCATCGCTAAAAGGCTCCTACAGTTAATAGCAATTGCTGAATTAGAGTCACATGTATATGTATAGGCACCAACACTAGTAGTTCTTAGATGAATCCAAGCCTAAACAATTACAGATGACAGTTCTTCACTAAATCACTTTAAAGTAATAATTTAATTAATAATACATTATTGCACTTTCTCAACAATTTGATCATCACCTAGCTGACAATGAACATGTTAGCTCCACGTTAGAACATATTGGATTCGATTTATTGTCTTGAATGTCACCCATAGTCACAGGTGTTTCTTGTGGGCATAGAGAAGGCCTGAGAGGCATTTGCAAACATTCACCATCTCCTCCAAGCATTTTGACAACTTTGGACATCGAAGGGCGATCACTTGGTTTCATTTGAATACACCACAAGGCGATTATAACCATCTTTCTTATTACTTTCTTTTCCTCCTCTGTAACATTGTCCATTTCCAAGTCATTTCCCACAATATACTGATCATATACCCACATTGGGAAGTACATTTGGCTTGGATGCTCTACCGTTGAATTCCAATTCTTCCTTCTGCTTGCCATTTCCATCAACAACATTCCAAAACTATAGACATCTGCCTTGTATGAGACGCCTCCAATATTTTTGTAGAACAACTCAGGAGCAATATATCCCAGTGTACCTCGTGCTGCCGTCAAAGAGACAATGCTATTATCTACGGGATACAATTTTGCAAGCCCGAAGTCAGAAACCTTTGCTTTAAAGTTCTCATCAAGAAGAATGTTATGAGGCTTGATGTCAAAATGTAGAATTTGCATGTCACACCCTTGATGTAGATATTCAATCCCTTGAGCCACTCCAAGAGAAATCTCATACATGTTCTTGATACTTAAGGAGATACTTCCTTCTTTGGAATAAATGTATTTATCAAGAGAGCCATTGGGCATAAAATCATATACTAAAGCACGCTTTGATCCCTCGACACAATAACCAACAAGTTGCACCACATTAGCATGGTGAATCCTTCCGATTGTAGTTATTTCACTAATGAAATCTTGGCCATTTGCTTTGGGCTTGCTCAAAACTTTAATTGCTACAAAACGGCCACTACGTAACTTTCCTTTAAATACGGAGCCAAAGCCGCCTTCACCCAACTTATCATTAAACTTGCAAGTCATCTTCTTAATTTCGGAGTAAGAGTACCTTATAGGCATGAAGTTGTTATTGCATTGCAGAAAGTCTTCTATTGTACTATACATTGACAAATGTCTTCTGCGCCATATATATACTAAAAATGCAGTCACAACTGGAACCCCAAACAGTAGTCTTGCTGGAAAAAATGACCCTGCATAAGAAATATATCACCAAAAGAATCATAAGAACAAAAACTTATTTTTCAAATCCACACTATAAACTTTTTTCTTCTTTTGAGGTAAGCTTCAGATCAAGCCACTCTTTAATGAATGAGATATAAATTAACACTTACAAAAAAATCTTTTGATAAATTAAACAAGTTCCGAGTCCCCAAATCACCTCCACCACCCTTCCCCTCCCGCATTGGCCGACTCCCTTCTCGGATAGCTACACCGGCCACCCCACCCCACAACCAACCATTCATCCTTCCCTCAAGTCTCTCTTTCCCTTTCTCTTTCTTTCTTATTGTTTCTTCCTCTTTTTATTGCCCTCCTGTCTTATGCCGGAGAAGGACACAAGGGACACCGGCAACCTCACAAGCTCTTAAATCTGAGGTGGGTGACGGCAAATTTGAAGGTGTCGCAGACCACCCTCAGGTTCAATATCAGAAGAGTAATGCTAAGGAGATTAAAATTTTTAAACCAAATGATATGTCATAAATAAGAAACACGCACATTAATCGATACTTAATTACTAATCTAATCATCTTCAATCATATCATTTAGTTTGCAAATTTAATTTAAAAATTTGGTTTCCTTAACATTACTCATAATCAGAATGAGAGTGGTAGAGAGCGAGAGGGAAGAGGAGAAAGAAAAAGAAAAGTTAAAACATTCAAAGAGTATCGAGTAGTACTGATAACCCATGAATTTTGTTTGATTTCAGTCATGAGGTTGGAATCTATGCTAAAAATGGACACGCACGCCCATGCATGCACACGCATAAATATATACATTAATTCTTACCGATGACCATGAGTATAGCCGCTCCACGCGCTGCAATAAAAATAGCAAAAAGTAAAAATCAAATGGAAACGGCTCAAAGTTTGAAAAGTGAATAAAAATCAAAGACTTGACTATATTTTCAAGAAATACAAGCTCTTGGGGGAGAAAGTCCCTACAAATGGAATTGAATGGTAACCATCGAGGAGCGTTTCCTGAAATAAATACCACACAAAATTCATCAACGATAAAATACTAGACTATCTTTGAGATGTGCATATAATGTACCACAGTGACTATTAAAATAAATTAGCATTGATTTGAGGGAGAAAGTCCTTACGAAAATAATATACGGGTTCACGCATATAATAACCTAGAGTGACAAAACAATACACAATTAGCAATACCACAACGAATCTTTAGAGTTTAAAATCAACAAGTTTTGTAACATATCTTTTCAAGCAACAATCGTAAACATTGAATTTGAAAGAGACTAGAAAGATGCTTTTCTTTTCTTTTTGTTTGTTTGTTTTGTTTTGTTTTGGAGAGGGATCACTTACGGAATTGATTCCACAGGAATCGAAATAAACCTACAGTATAACAAGAAAACAACATTAGCATAACAACAGTTAGAAAATAAAATTCAAGTTGCTGCCATTGTTGATACCTGTATAGCATATGATAAAGCAACATTTAATTCATTTGTCATGCAATTGATAGCGGAACTAAGATATGGTTTTGGGAAAGGTCATGACCCCCCACCCCCCACAACAACCCCAAACTCTTTAATTTAGATAATATCATTTGTTCAAAAAAATAATCATCAATATTTTAACAAACTCAATGCCACAATGATGGAGAAGAGTGCTGCCCTTGCACCATGGTGTGAATTCGAACCGCATCGGCTCCTAATCTAACAAACCTATTGTTTGACAAAAAAAAAAGAAGGGAAAACTAAAGAAAAGTCATCAAAAACTTTAGTTTTAATAAAAATGATAAAATAAAGGCGTAAGTAAATAGTACCAAAAGTGACTTTTCAAGGTAAAAATGTCCTTAACTTTAAAAGTGAATAGTACCGAAAATGTTTCATTAAGATTTCCAAAAAAAAATTATTATTTAAACCATCCCCATATTTCTCGTCCTTCACATCTTTCTCTCTCAAATTAATAATTTTTTTATATGTTTAGCAATCTCTTAACTTCTCTCCTCTTCTTTAAAACTAGAGTAACTATTCACAAAACTAAACTAAAAAGTGCGCTATGGAGTTTCTTGGAGCTTGATTTTCTTAGTTTGACTCTTTAAACTAGCATTCCAACATATTTAAAGAGTCTCATGGAGAGCTGCAAAGACAATAAAGGATGCAACTAAAACGATGGGTTTATAAGCTTTAGTTTTTCATACACCACACTAAAAATTTCTATTGAAGCCATATCGCTTTGGATAATACTTGCATTCCTCTTTTGGGGAATGAGCTCATTCCTCCACTTACAAATTAATATATCTTTATAGTAGAAATTTCATAATTGGAACTATTCAATCTCCTAGTCTTCATATGAAAATCATACCTACAAAAAATAATTCGAATCGGAGATCGTTTAGTCATCCAAATGTATCAAATAAATTAATGGTGTAGGTACCAAGAAGCATAATCATGATGAAACGTTGATTTCTTTGATAGATTTAGATAACTAAGTGATCTCCAACTTGAATGATATTTTATAGAGTTGATCTTCAATTGAAGACTAAGACATTGAACGATTCCAATTATAAAATTTTTACATTAAATATACGTTATTTGTAAGTGGGGATATGAGTTCAACCCCACAAGGGGGAATGCAAACATTCTCATGGCTTGATTACTATAGTCTAAAGTTGGATTTCCAATGGCATTGTTCATCTTTCCCCTGATTTTGAAAATTCACGGTTTTGGCACTGAACTCTTTCTTTGGGTGGTTCTGCGCCAAAAAGAATGGGTTTCGGCTCTGCGTCTGGGCCCGAAGTGGGCTGCCCTGTGTGTTGGGCTGGGTTGCACGGAAAGAGTCGAAATGACTCTTTTTCCCGCTTCAATCCAAATCCAACGGACAGGATCTGGGGGCACTTTTTATTTGGTAAAATATATTTTCATTTCACACTTTAATAAAGTTACAGTTTAGGTATACATATACAACAAACTAACATAGTATCTTAACCACTAAGCTAACAGCTAAGAAGATACATTTACAATATTGCCCTTTATATCCCCCCGCAAACTGAACTTAGGTTGTCGAAGTTGAAGTTTGTCATGAAGGAAGAGGAAACGAAGCTTGGACAGAGACTTGGTGCAGATATCGGCTACTTGGTCTTGAGTGCAGACAAAATGGACAGAGATCTGCTTGGCAAAGACCTTTTCCCTAATGTAATGATAGTCGATTTCTACATGCTTTGTCCGAGCATGAAAGACAGGATTTTTTGCTCGAGATATAGCAGAAATATTGTCACACCAAAGATGAGGGGTGGTAGGTAAGCAGTAGCCAATATCCGATAGTAATTGACAGAGCCAGGTGATTTCAGATGCAGTATTAGCAAGAGAGCGGTACTCTGCTTCGGTGGAAGAGCGAGCAACAGTCGGTTGCTTCTTAGCACTCCAGCTAATCAAAGAGTTACCAAAATAGACACAGTAACCTCCAGTGGACCGGCGGTCAAGAGCACAGCCAGCCCAATCAGCGTCCGAGAAGGCAGTGAGAGTAGGAGGAGTGGAACACTTGGAGAACCAGATACCAATATCAAGAGATCCCTTGAGGTATCTTAGAATACGCTTTACAGCTTGAAGATGTGAAAGTTTGGGAGTGTGCATATATTGGCATACAAGATTAACTGCAAAACTGAGATCAGGACGAGTCCAGGTGAGATATTGTAGAGCACCAACCAGGGAACGATACTCAGAAGCATTGTCACATAAGGGAGAATCATGATCAAGTTTGGAGGTGCTGAGAGGAGTACTGCAAGGTTTGGCACCAGTCATGTTGGCCTTGGATAACAAATCCAATATGTATTTAGTCTGAGATAGAAAGATACCAGCAGAAGATCTTTTGACTTCAAGACCAAGAAAGTAGTGCAGCGGACCCAAATCCTTGATGGGAAACAGGGAACTCAGTTGCTGAATAACTTGGTTACAGGCATCAGAGTTTGGACCAGTAACTAAAATGTCGTCGACATAAACCAGAATGAAAATCATAGCTGAACCCTTTTTGATAAATAAGGAATGGTCGCTGGGAGAGCCAACAAAACCGAGAGAAGTGAGAGCACCATGAAGCTTGTCATACCAAGCCCGCGGAGCTTGTTTTAAACCATACAACGAACGATGCAAGTGACAGACATGAGATGGGTGAGCTGAATCTTCAAATCCAGGAGGTTGCTGCATAAAAACTGATTCATTGAGTGTCCTATGTAAGAAAGCATTGCTGACATCTAGTTGATTCAAGAACCAATCGAACTGGACCGCAAGAGTGAGGATGAGGCGAATGGTGACTGGCTTGGCTACCAGACTGAAGGTTTCGGTATAATCTAAACCTTCCTGCTGATTGAAGCCCTTGGCAACGAGCCGAGCTTTGTACCGGTCTATAGTACCATCGGGCTTACGTTTGATGCGGAAGACCCATTTACAGCCAACAATATTCTGTGAGGGAGACGGGGGAACAAGAGACCAAGTTCCAGTTTTGATGAGAGCAGTAACCTCTTCTTGCATAGCTTGGGACCAATGAGGATATTTGGAAGCTTGGAGATAGGTTTTAGGGATGTAATCCACTGAGAGATGAGAGGGAAAAGGGTGCTTAGTAGCAGTGAGAGCTTTGGGTTTGAAAACACCAGATTTGGACCGGGTTTGCATCGGATGGGTGTTAGAAGGTTGAAGAGAAGTGGAAGGAACGAAATCTGGAATAGGCAGTACATGACTGAAGGGAATAGGTGTGGAAGGATTATGGGAGAAGGGGGATGGGGAAATGGAAGGGGAACGAGGGAAAGAGGGGGGAATACTAGAGGAAGAAGAAAGAGGAAAAGTAAAAGTAAGGGTTGATGGAAGAGATGAGGTAGACCTAGGAGGCAGGGATGAAGGTGGTATGTTGGAGATATGATGGAATGGAAAACTGGATTCATTGAAGATGACATGTCGGGAAATATATACTCGGTGAGTTGCAGGGTCAAGACATCTATAGCCATTGTGATTTAAACTGTATCCAAGAAAGACACAGGCTCTGCTTTTAGGATCCAGCTTCAAGGAAGTATAAGGCTTAAGCCAGGGGAAGCAAGCACAACCAAAAACCTTGAGAAGGTCATAATTCGGAGCTCGATGATATAGAGATTCCCAAGGAGACTGTCTGGATGCAGTAGGCAATCGGTTGATAAGATAGATGGCAGTGTTGAAAGCCTCCACCCAATAGATGTGGGGTACTTTGGAAGCTGTCAAAAGAGTGCGAGCAGTTTCAACCAAGTGACGATGCTTGCGCTCGGCACACCCATTTTGTTCGGGTGTGTGGGGGCAGGTAAGTTGATGATGAATGCCATGAGTAGCCAAAAATTGAGAGAAACTAGTGCTCAAGTACTCTCCTCCGGAATCAGATCTCCAAAGTAATAATTTTTGTACACAGAGAATTTTCAACCAGAGATTTGTATTCCATAAAAGTGGACAGTACATCAGATTTGCATTTCAAAGGATAAAACCAGGAGTACCTAGTAAAGTCATCCACAAAAATGATGTAATACCGAAAACCTTGAGAAGAAGCTTGAAGAGAGGGTCCCCAAACATCCATGTGGACAAGTTCTAGAGGTTTGCGAGTTGTACAAAAAGTGGATACAAAAGGAAGCTTGGAGCTTTTAGCCAATGCACAATATGAGCAGAATGACTTAGTTACATGAGCTAAAACAGGAATACAAGATTGAGAAGCAAGTTTATGAAGAATCTTGACAGATGGGTGACCCAATCTTTGATGCCAAACATCCGTAGAAGCTTTAGCAGTGGTGGTGAGAGCCTTATGATTGCCAGTTGCAGATTAGGAAAAATGGAAAGGATAGAACCCTTGCTGAACAGGTCCTTTAAAACACATCCTCCCCGAAGAAAGATCATTCACAGTGAAGTGAGAGGGATAAAGATGCAATGAACAGTGATTATCAAGTAAAAATTGATTTGCAGAGAGAAGGTTATGTTTCAAAGCAGGCACATAAAGAACTTTATTGAGATTGAAAGCACTAGTAGAAGTATGCAAAGTAGTAGAACCAGAATGAGTGATAGGCAAACCTTTGCCTTCACCAATATACACTTGTTCTGGACCTGTGTATGCTTCAGGATTTTGCAGAGTGGAATAGGAGTTGGTCATGTGGGATGTTGCTCCAGAATCGACAATCCAAGTAGGATTGGATGAAGAAGCAGTAGCAACCATCGCTGCAGGAGAGGATTTTCCACCATAAGCCAGATTGAGGCGATGAGGACAATCACATGCTTCATGATCAAGTTGATGACAAATCTGACAGGGATGTTTCTTGGTGTAGGAAGAAAAATTGTTGCGACCTCCACGATTAGAACGTGAATTATTACCACGATTAGGAAAAGATCTCGGAT